GAATAACTACTTCGGCATCGGCCTGGATGCAAAGATCTCCCTGGAGTTCAACAACAAACGGGATGAGCACCCCAAGAAGTGCAGGTTGGCTGAAACCCCCTAGATTCCCCTGGGAAAAACATGTACCCTCCTGGCTCTCTGATGCCCGCACCAGGAGGGACCACCAGAATGCTGGGAGCCGTGGGGTCGACTCAGGGCTGCTGTGCCTGGCTGGGGACCCCTTCCTGCGGCAGGTTTTCCACCTGCACCCAGTGCCACAGTGCTGGGGTGAGCACCCCTGGGCGGGCGGCAGATTGCAAACACCACCAGGAAGGGGGAGGGCTGCTGTGAGGCTCCAGCTGCCGATGCCCCCCGGATGTGTGAATGGGCACAGGAGGGCTTGGTGGGATCTACCCACTCTGCACCTGGATAGAGGAGACATTGCTGTGCCGGTGTGGAAGGGTGCACCTCTGGGTGCCACATGTTGCAGCCTGCATCTCCCAGGAGGCAGCGGGCAGCCCCTCTGTTGTGGGAGTGGGGAAACTGAGGCAGGGGCAGGGCCAGCAGTCCAGGCTGGCTGGTTCAGCCCAGTGCCCCAGGGAGGGCGCAGAGCCTGTGGCAGGCAGTGGGGAGCCCACAGCCCCACTCCCCCAGCCCGCTTCGCCCTGCAGCAGCCGCACCAAGAATATGATGTGGTATGGGGTGCTGGGCACAAAGGAGCTCCTGCAGCGTACCTACAAGAACCTGGAGCAGCGGGTGCAGCTGGAGGTATGGGGCCGGGAGGAACAGGGATGGGGTGGGGGGGTGGCAGCGCAGCGTCCCCCCAGGCTCAGCTCTCTCTTGCAGTGTGATGGGGTGCCCATCTCACTGCCCAGCCTGCAGGGCATCGCTGTCCTCAACATCCCCAGCTACGCCGGGGGCATCAACTTCTGGGGAGGCACCAAGGAGGACAACGTGAGTGCCAGCGTCGTCGGGTGGGGAGGGGGGCACGATGTCCTTTCCATGGTCCCAGGAAACCTGGGAGCCCTCGGGCAGGGGTCTCACATGTCCGTGCTTTGGGCACGATATCCTT